CCAAGAACATCTGGAGGGCCACAGTTCGACACCACTGCTCTATTACCATCTCCACACAAGAATTGGAGGTTGTTCATGACTTTGTGTGCCTTGGCTCAACAATCTCTGACACTCTCTCCCTAGATGTTGAGCTGGATAAACGCATTGGCAAAGCAGCTACCATGTTCTCAGACTCACAAAGAGAATATGACTTAACAAAAAGCTGAGGCATAAAGCAAGATCCAGATCTATAGAGCTTGTGTCCTGGGTACACTCCTGTACTGCAGTGAGTTCTGGAACCTTTGTGCACAGCAGGAGAGGAAGTTGAACAGGTTCCATATGTGTTGTCTCTGACGCATTCTTGGCATCAGCTGGCAGAACAAAGTTCCAGATAGTATAGTCCAGGAGCAAGCTGGAATTGTTTGTATACATTATGGAAACAGCAACATCTACGTTGGCTTGGGCATGTTGTGAGAATGGCTAACGGCCAGATTCCAAAAGATCTCCTGTATGAAGAATTAGTGCAGGGAAAGCGCCCTAGAGGGAGACCACAGCTGCGATACAAGGATATCTGGAAGCAGGATCGGAAGGCCTTAGGAATGGACCTCGACAGATGGGAAACCTTGACATCTGAGCATTCAGCCTGGATGCAGGTGGTGCAGCATGGCCTCTCCCAATTTGAGGAGGCATTTGTTCAGCAGGCCAAGGCAAAGAGGCAGTCCCGAAACCAGCCAAATCAGGGAGCTGGACAGGGAACAGATTGTATTTGTCTTCAGTGTGGAAGGAATTGTCACTCTCAAACTGGCCTTCTCAGCCACACTAGATGCTGTTCCAAGACCTCTATTCAGAGCACATTACCATAGTTTCTTGAGACTGAAGTAGGCCTACTACTATATCATCACAGCATTTTCAAGATAATAAAAGTTCAGCTTTTATTATTGCCTCCTACATTCAGGGTAAGAAAAGTTCAGAGAGACTAGGTAAAGTAAAGGTTCCCCTTGGCCATTTGTGTAGTCATATCTGACTCTAGTGTTCCCCTTGACCATTTGTCCAGTCATGTCTGACTCTCATCCCCGTTTCCAAGTCATAGAGCTAGTGTTTGTCCGAAGACAGTTTCCGTGTCACATCGCCAGTGTGACTAGACACGGTACGCCATTACCTTCCTACCATGGTGGTGCCTATTTATCTATTTGCATTTTTACATGCTTTCGAACTGCTAGGTTGGCAAGAGCTGGAACGAGCGATAGGAGCTCACTCTATTGCGTGGATTCAAACTGCTGATCTTCTGACCTTGCAGCCCAGAGGCGTTCGCGGTGTAACCCCCAGCACCACCACGTCCCTACTTCCGAGAGACTACCAGTCTTATAATTCATCACAATGCAGAAAAATACATAGGGCAAATAGCAAGCTATCTAGCAAACTAACTGAAAATTTTAAAAAGTGCCACCAGGAATACCTAATGACCATTCCATTAATACAATAAAAGGAGAAGCAGCTTCTTTTCTGAAGGCCAAAATGTTCACTTTTAGTTGTACAAGAAATACAATATTTTGACAACAGAACTGTTCATATGTGCCATGGTTAGTTATTTGTCTAGAACTGTTCTTTTTCTTAAATTACTGGTGAATTCCAGAGTAAAAATGCTATCGTTATTAATAGCCTTTTGAGACTGGAAAGCCTGAGCTACCATATCTTGAGTATGTTGTAAGAAGTGAAGCAAGAAAGAAATTTGATATTCCAATGCTTGCTCAGAGAGAAAGCTCTGAAAGGAGATCTGAAAAAGCAAAATGAAGTGGAGGGAAAATGCACAATTTATTCCTGCACCATTTATCTTCCCTGCACTTGATACATTAATCATCCTAAGCCCTCTGTAGAAATAATATAGGATAAGAGGAATACCTGGGGCTCCTTCATCTGAAATGCAGGAGACTAGAACTCTGTTTTTTTATGAACGATTGCTAAACATTTGTGAATATACACATACTGAAAAGAGAGGAACTGAAAAACATATTGCTAAAGTTAGTATGTTTCATTTACCTGTAAGGGAAGTCTCTAGGGAGATTAACAATTGTTTCTTCCATCACAGTGTATGGACGACTGTGATGTTGTTTCATCCAAGGCTTCATCAAAGTGAACAAAGTTTCAGAAAGGTTTTCAGAAGATTGCAGATTTTGATCTATGTGATCAGAAATGGGGAGAAGGCATTGTTAAGGTATGAGTTTTAATATTCCAGTTGACTACCAGCTAGATCAAGAAAATTTTGTGCACTTAGATTTCAAATACTTTTTATTACAGTGGAACCTCTACTTAAGAACTTAATCCGTCAGGAAAGGTTTTTTTTCCTGTTCTTATCTTGGATTTCTGTTCTCAAGTAGAAGCAAAATTTAGCAAATGGAGCTGTTCTTAAGTTGGATTGTTCTTAAGTAGGGACGTTCTTAAGTAGAGACCCCACTGTATATATATTATATTACTGTAATTTATATACCACCTTATTCATGCCAAAGCACTATTCCAGGTGGTTAATAAACAGTTAAAACAAACTACATAGATCAATAAACACTAAATACCAAAATCGTAGTCCAGAAAATTTAAGTGAAATAAATCCAATGTTATCAAACTTGTTACCTCTTGAAGCAGGTAGAACTACAGAGTGCAAAACAGATGTTAGCTACATGACCAAAGACTATGGATTATGCACATAGGTAGCACAGAAGATTCTATTTAGTAGCAGCATGTGTTTCCTTAGAAAATATAGAAGTTACAAAATGATAAGAATGGCTAAAAACAATATTTTCATGTTTAATAAAAGTACCTTTATTTAAATCAATTCAAATGACATACAAATAGTCCTGTTATTTTGGGTAAAGTCTAAACATGGAAGTTCTTGTTTAAAAACACTGCTTAAAGTAAGGAGATGTGGTGATATTTCCCCAGTGCTACCTTCCTAAATGAGTAAGTAAATCAGGAGAAAGCTGACATGAGCTGTAGATGTGTAACAATATTGTTATAGAAGATACAAACTGTTCTTCTATGTGTTGTGTGACAGAGAGTTGATGCATCTGAGTTTGTGCTTGTGAATGAATATTTGTTTACCTTTGCGACACATACAGTTGAACAGCAACTATTTGCTTAGTTCAAGGTAAAAGAAGCATGCAGCAGTCTTAACGTGAGTTGTGTGAACTGGCTGTCATGTATTGGTCACTTTAAAGGAGGTTTCTGACAGCTGTAGGAGACAAGTGGACCTTGTAATGTGGTGATGCCGAGATGGTTTGATTGGGGACGTAGTTATGGGGGGATTTATTGAATGTGTTTCTTGTGTTTGTCATATCCTCTTTGGAATAAAGAACTGTATGTTGAAGCAGTTCTCGTATATGGACCCACAACGTAACACTGGCCTAGGTATCCCAGCTGTACCTACGTATATTGTCTATAATATGGAGCACATAGACCTCCATTTTACATCTGAACTGCAAGACAAAGATAATGGTTCTTCAGTTATTACTGAATCCAGAGCTGTCTACACAGTTGTCAGGGGGAGACCCCTGTTCCCCCAGTCTCTTTCTGTTAACAAATCTGAAGAAGAGTGATTACACGTTATACGTAGGCTCTACATGTCAGCAACAACTCAGATATCCTAGAATTTCTGCTTCTGCATAGAGCCTACATGCTAACAGAATAGTCTTATCTTCAGATTCATCATCTCTTGCATGCGAAAAGTGATAAAAGATGGTTAAACTAAGCACTATAAGCGGGTTGTTAGTGCTGTATTCTGCAATGAATATGGCTGCAGGAACTGACTTCTCTACCCCAGCACAGTTCTGTAACCTGTGCTGGCAGTACATAAGTGTTCTAACAGAACATATACACTGAGTAAGATCCTAAATTAAAACAAGATGCCAGGTGCATGCCATGCTATGTGTTATGTTCTTATTGCATCATATTTAAACTGAACTTGTTAGCATAAAATATGAGGTGTGGATAGGAATTAACCTGTCTTCAAGTAAAAAATTATACCAGCAATAAACACTATGACTGTTTATAGCCTCAAGTCATGAAAGCTTTTTGAATTTTGTAAAATAAACAAAGTTGGATTTTTTCAGACATGTTGGGATCATATATTAAAGATGAGTAATCTACTGTTTTGCTTATTTTAAAATGCACCAACTTGTGTCCTGACTTTAACAAATAATCTCTCAGCTAACCTGAGAAGTCTTCTTCACAGGTTAGCTGATCATAGAATTACAGAATAATTTGAATTAGAAGGGGGCTATAAGACCATCAAGCCCAACCACCTGCTCAATGCAGGAATACAAGTCAAAGCAGATCTGACAAATGGTTGTCTAGGCTTGTAGAATGCAGATAAACTGTAGTATTTTATTAGTAAGGCATCTTGAACATATGTTTTGCAGCAGAATATTGTATAATTGTATAATTATAACAGACCAATGGATTTTCTTTTTTAAAACAATTATTCTGTTGCAAAATCTGTTTTACTTATATCCTATGTCTACATTATGGAAAGGGTGTGCACCAAGCTTAAAACGGTCATTATAGTAATTATGCAGAATTGGAAAAAAAGTCCTTGGGCATAGCAGGATTTACCACAACCTAAATATAAAACCACCTTATATGTAAAACCACATGGTCAGTCTTTTTTGTTTCTTAGCACAAAAACTGTCATCAAGTCAATGAAGACTAGGAACATATTGGCAATGGATGAATCATAACTTCTAAATTTCTTTTGCCTTTTATGTAGATTTAGATTTAGAACACAACAGAGATTAAAGTTTCACTTTTCAGTCTCCTGTCACCGAACTTTATAATCTTAGAACTTTAGAGCTGGGAGGAACATATCAATGGACTGTTGAGCCCAGTCCCTCTCAAGGAAGGATAGTGGGGAATTGAATTCCAGCCTCTGGCTTTGCAACCAGAGACCTAAACCACTGAGCTATCCAGCAGTTCTTTGGTTGTTCTTAACTTAAGGTACGACTACACTGAATGACAGAAATGCTTTCGGATTGGGATACTCTAGTTTGCTTTTTTTACAGGACATAAACACCAATGCAAATTAACTCAAGACTTTCTCCCCCTCAAATCCATATGTTTTTGCTCCACTTCTGGGGCATCTACTTTTTAAAACAAAACAAAACATCAGATCCATTTGCATCAGTTCTGGCAGTGTGGTTGCTTGAACCAGTGCAGAAAAGTATTTAAGTAATGTTCATGGTTGGCACAATAGGGCAGAAGCTGGTGGGAGCAGTGGAAAAATCCACTGCTGGATCTTTGCAAATAATGTGATTTCTCCTTTTAAAAAAGGCTTGGTGCCAGTACTTGTTGCACTAGGACAGTGGTTCTCAAACTTGGGTCCCCAGATGTTCTTGGACTGCAACTCTCAGAAATCCTGGCCATCGAGCAATGGTGAAAGTTTCTGGGAATTTCAGTCCAAGAACATCTAGGAAACCCAGTTTGAGAACCACTGTACTAGGACACCTAGATACCAGAGAAAAAGAGAGGAGGAACAGGAGGAGGAAATTACCACTTGATCATTGTGTATAGCTTATTAAGGTAGTTCTGTAGCTGTGCCTCCAGCAAATCAGGAGAGCTGTAGAAGAGCTAGGTTAAGATGAAAAAAGACTGTCAATTTCCTCCTCTCTCTATGTGGCCAGTTAACACAAATTTACCTGGGAAAACCCAACTTCCCAGATATGATTTCACAGCATGTCAATTCTATTGTGTAGTTGCACCCTCACATAAGACAACTACTAATTTATGGTACTTCCTATTCCAAAATATAATGGATTTAGCATTAAGGATGAAAGTATGAATAGCCCACATGTTAATAGCAGCAAGTGAAGCTGCTCCATAGGCAATAGCAAAGCCCCTGTCCTCCTACCAGGCCACTACCATGCACACGTGGTCTGACTTTTCAGGTGAAATGTAGCAGACCACTGGACCTCACCATGTTATCTTCATTTATAATAACAGCCAAGAGAGAGCTGGCTGCAATCACCAGTGCTTGCTTTTAACATTATACGTGGGTGCAATGAGTTTTTGGATATGACCGACATATGTCATTGTTACAGTTGATTGGGAGAGAACAGGTGGAGGATGAGAACTGAATGTTTAAATGGCCCCTTTAAAAAAAAGGAAAGATGAACAAGAAAATATGCAAAGGGTGATAGGAATGACAATGGGAAAGGAGTGAGAAAAAAATGAAGACATAAGAATGTTATAATGAATCATGGATGAAACAGAGCAAGAAAAGGAAGAGCGAGTGAATAGCAATTCTCTAAGGACATCCTATAGTTCAGGGGTTCACAACACGTGGTCTGCGGACCAGTTCCAGTCTGTGGTCTTAGCAGGACCAGGCCGTGGAGACAGATCTCCCACCCCCTCACATGCACAGATGCATGCATGTCCCCTGCCCATACATGGATGCACGCACATACACTCATGCATGCATACAGAGGCACACACATGCCCCCATGTACACATGGACACACACACACACACACACTCATACATGCACACATGCCCCCAGATGCACAGACACACACCCCTGCACACATGCTAAACCAGTCACTGCTGTCAAAAAGGTGGGAGACCACTGCTATAGTGGCATATATCCTATTGAGATGACATATCCTATTGAGAAGGAAGCATTCCAAATCAAGTTGGTTAGAATCAGTCATTTTCTGTTGGTTACTTTGTAAGGAAGCTTGTGATGAATCTGCCAGTCATCTTTTTATTTCTTTTGTTTTTTCCTCTCTTGATCAATGAGGCATGACTGAGCCATGCTCATCAATATCTACGGGAAGGAACAGTCTCAAAGAAAGAAACATTTGACACACAGATCCTTGTAAAAATCCCCAGTCTCTAGTGTTCTTGCATGTTTGTCCTGCTGATGTTCAAGCATCTTGATATTGCTATTATTTGCTTTGTGAATGTCCTCTCAGCCTCAAAATATCAGGAAACAACAAGTTCTGCTTGCTGAAATCACTGGCTATGCTGAAAGTCTAAATCTATATTTGAAATAAAATCACTATCTTTGGAAGCCTGACTGAAAGTAACTCAGCTTACATTCTGTATGGGGAGGAGTGTTTGACCGTTTCTCTTTTTGATGTTTGAAAGAACAGATGTTACATCATCCCATTGTCCTTGAGAGATGAGCTCCCTCATCTCAATCTTGGTTAGCTAGAATTCTCAATAACTCTCCTATCTTAATGTATTTTTCTCAGCAATATAAACGTTCTTGTTTTTTAGAACAAGAAATGTGCATATGATCTTTTTAAAGTAGGAAGTGTGCTTTGCTAACCATTCCAGTATTTAGAGGTTGAATCCTCAAGTTGAATTAGCTGCTTCCTGTTCTGCTAAAAAGGGCATGAACAGCCTTCAAGGGTCCTGCCTTCCTGTTCTTGAGATATTGCACAATCCCTACCCTACCACACCAGGCCTTCACAGAAGTACCAGGATGTCTCCAGCTTGTAGAAAAAAATAATCCTACATTGTAACCTACTTCTTGAAATTTCCTTTCTCTTCTTTGAACCTTTTCTCTGTGCTGTTCCTTTCTCCTATCTCCTAGCAATGCCTGGCCCCCAAATTTGATTCAAATCCCTGCTACTTCCTGGAATCAAACCCCCACTATATTCTGTGTTGGACTGCGACAACAGCCTGGATCCCAACAGTGTTTCAGTTTGTGGCTTCACAGCAAGCGTGCTTTCTTGAGTTATTTTACTCCATTTTGAAGCATACGTATTCTAGTCATGTAGTTTTTATTGTATTCACTTAGTAGTCAAAATCCTGTTATAGAAATTTACATGGCATACACTGAATCAGTGGTGAATGTGGAACATGAGGGCATGAAGAGTGGTCCTTGAAATTAGACATTTTCCCTCAACATGACTAAGTAGAGCTGTTCTATTGGAAGTGGAACTTACAATGGACAGAAAGTTGAGGTGGAATCTATGGACAGAGTTCTGTATAATCCATTGCTACTTCTGGATTTCTCACATTGGCAGTGGTGTAGGTTATGGCTTATATAACATACAGTATTTGGAGATAACATACATACATCACTGCATGTGTGAGGAACCCAAAAACATCACTATCAACAATGTTATCAAGTCAATTCTGGCTTATGGTAAATCTTTTCAGGGTTTTCTACATGTACAGTACTCAGATTATAACAACTCAATACACGGATTTAACTTCCTGTCCTATCTACTAGAAATAGCATGTCCCCCCCCAATAGATCTCTTTAGGTAGGGAAAGCCTCGTTCAAAGGTCACACCTTATGCCTCCATACTCTACATTTATGAATAATATTCAATAAAAATAAACAAGCTTACATTGCTGAGAGTTTGTAGGTGTAAAACAGTGGTTTCGGGAACACGGCCTTTTTCTAAGTTCTAGCAATAGGCGCCGTTCCTCTGCTTGGCGAATCCTTTCATTTTGTTTCCTCCTCCAGGCCACCACCCTAAACAAAAGGTAACGTGACATGTTGCTGTAAATTTGAATTTTTTCTGAAATGTCACTTACCTTACTTTTTAATTAAACCATAATCCAGTACGATAATTGATCTGTGAACTCTGGAAATGTCAATCAATAGAGTCAACCAGGATGAGGAATTGTACGTTCCACTGTTTTTAATATTTTATTTTCACTTCTGCTTATTTTGCAGAAAAACGCACACCAGTCTTAGTGTTTGAATGCCTTCAATGAAGAGAGTAAAATAATGTTGAAAACATAAATGCCCCCACTCTCATTTGTTCCTTGACCTTATTTTGTGCCATTTGCTCCAAAGAAAATACTATTTTAAAAGTTTCCAGGAATCTTCCCAAACTGAAATTCAGCACTTGAACCAAGAAAGGTTCCCTAGACCAGGTGTAAAGAGAGCTCAAAAGAACATATACTTGGATAGAAATTAAGGTTAACAATTATCTGTACCTTATGATATCTTTTTCATAAGGGGATTCATAATCTTCATTTTGTTGCTGGTCAGTCTTTTTTCCTGAAAGGGGCCTATGAAGAAAATGAACAGCATATTAATTGAAACTTGGTTTGAATACATCAGTGTTTGAGGTGCTGGATATATGAAGAAAATATCTAAGAAACATTTTAGTATAATTTCCCAGCTGTATACATTCAATGTGATAGTGATTTGGATATATTTTACATCTTCCTGCTCACCTATTTCTTATTTTATTCCACATTATAGGTAGGATAGGATTATAGTAGGTAGGATTACTAGTTTAAGCATCAGGGAGTCTCTGCACTTCTACCAGCCTCCAATGGAGGGACCAATCTCAGGGTGAACAACACTGATGGAAGAAGACTTTGATTTTTGAGCATGAAGCAGCTTTAGAGGCTAACCACCATTTCCCAGCAGGCATTTTTCTGTCTGTCCAAAAAAAGGGAAAAAGAAGGGAGGGGGAAGGAAAAAAGTGGCATGAAAGGAAAGGAAAGGAAAGGAAAAAGAAGGGAGGGGGAAGGGAAAAAAATGGCTTTCTCCCTTGGCTCTGGTTTTAACTAGATTCTGGATATGTTGATCCAAATTTTTCTCATGATCATTTCCACAATCTGTTCCAACCTCCCCTTCCAACCTTTGCCTACACTACTTCCATAACAGAGAAGGCCTCACAATGACCTGTTCCATGGTCTAGGATTTTGATCTTGAAATTTCAGGATACAGCTGACCTGGCATAGCCATTCTGTACAATGCATCCCAATCTGAGGTTTTGAAATAACCTTCTAAAATTCACAGGATGAAATCCAAGTGCTATGGTTGACAAATGATACAGAAAGTGCCACTCTATGCATAATTTAAAAAACTGTATAGATATTTACAATAGAAAAATTAACCTTCAGGTTTTTATCTTGCATTGTGGAAATAAATTAATTCAGGATTAATGGAAGGGTCAAGAAAGAAAGTGTGAAAGCTGGATCACAGTTGGATATTAAGAAGACAAAATAATGACTACAGAAAAATTACATAGCTTTATCTGTAACAATAAAGAGACCACAATTGTTCAAGCTTTTCTGTGCCTTGGTGCATTGATTAACCAAAATGGAGAGAGCAACCAAGAAATCAAAAGAAGATTGGGATTTGGAAGGGTAGGCATGAAGGTGCTAGAAAGACCCTTAAATATAAGGATGTGTCAATGGAGACCAAGGTTGAGATCATTCAGAGATATGCTATGTATGGATATGGAAGTTGGACAATGCACATAACTGATAGGAAAAAATAAATTCATTTGTAACGTGTTGTTGGTGGGCTGCTAAAAAGACAAATGGGCTCTAAATCAAACCAAGCTTGAGCTCTTATTAGAAGGTAAAATGACTAAACTAAGCCTATGGCAATTTGGACACAGCAAGACAAAATTTTCTAGAGGAGACCATAATGGTCATAAACTTGAAGGCAATAGGAAAAGAGGGTTCTAATCTAATTTAAGATGGGTTGACTCAACAGAAGAATCCATGGACTTTAGTTTAAGATTTGAGAGTTTTTTTGTAGGTCATTAATTCATATATGCAAATAAGTCAGAAACAACTTGACAGCACATAACGCACACAGGAGAAATGTATCAGCAAATGGCATACTGAATTATATTTCACCATGCTTACTCATACATCTAGCAAGGTTTGCATAACAGCACTTGGGAAATTTTATTCAATCATTTCACAGCATAAACGTTTATTGTTAAAGCAATATATTTACCATAAAATATATTGTAAATATATTCAATGACATCTGTCCTGAATTATAGCAAAGAAATTTTAGTTTAATAAAATTAAAGTCATAACTTTAGTTATGGTCTAAAGTAGAAATTAATTTAGGTTTTTTTTTCCTGCCATGTGTTTTAAAAATTAACATCCTAAATAAATGTGACTGCATGTTACAGAGGACAAACCATGGTTTCATGTAACCATGTTCCTTACATGTGCACTTAGCAAGGGTTGCATCCAGTGGTGTCCATTCACCAGCAGAACAGACACCACGGGTGAAAGGGGCTCCCACACCCTGATAGTTCTTTCCAATTTACTTTAGAAGCCTTTCTGGAGCAAATTGGATGGTAATGTTTTCATTGTGCATACCTTTTTCCAACTGATGTTGAAGCCTAAAACAGAGAAAAAGAGTAGATTAAAAAAGGGGCTTGGAATTTAAAAGGAATATCATCATCATCATTCTTTATTACAGTCACAGACCAGCAAGATTATAAAAAGACGGAACATACAGAAAACTCATAATGGAGTATATGAATCCTTTTTTCAAGGTGATTGCAACATTTTCTCTTTAGTTCTCATAGCAATCAATAAAAATTTAGACACCCTGTCAGTAATATAAGTGGACTCACCCTCTAAACAGGACAGTAACAAATCTGTAGAAAGGAATATGCATTTCAGCTATTTCCTTGGGGGCGGGAGTGTGTTATTAATTTTATTGAAGACTTCTAGAATCTGGATTAACATGACTGTGCTGCTTAAAGAAGATTACAGAAACCTTCCCACTGCCTGGTTATGCCATCCCTAACATATAGACCAGAATCCTGTGCAGTCAAACTGCTCATGAATCAGAATATTGTAATAGTAGTTTGACTTTTTCTTTTCTCACATGAGATACCCATTATCTTTTTTCACACATGGAAGATGGGCTGTTACAGTGGCCTGACTTACATTTGTCCAAGGAGCAAATCAAGAATCTAGCAATGTTCTGCTGGCAGAATCTTGTGCTATCACACAGGAGGATCTCAGGTATGGAAAATTTGATACACTAATATTGAACTCACTTACAAGACTGAATAGTTATACATAGGATTATCCTCTGCACTATCCATATGCAAAGCAGAGAAAAGTAAATACATAACTACAGTACCCTGTTTCCTTTTAGCCGCACCATTGCCAGTGGCTACAGTACTACAGTACCCTGTTTCCCAGAAAATAAGACCTAACCTGAAAATAAGCCCTAGTATGATTTTTCCAGATGCTTGTAATTCAAGCCCTACCCCCCCAAATAAGCCCTAGTTAAGTGAAACCCTGCTCTCCCCCATTGTGCAGCAACCAGAAGAAGATGACGACTTTATGAGCAACCAGAAGAAGATGACATGACTTTATGTAAATAAATGTAGTTTGTTGCACATGAAAAAAATAAAACATCCCCTGAAAATAAGCCCTAATGTGTTTTGGAGCAAAAATTAATATAAGACCCTGTCTTATTTTCAGGGAAACACGGTAGTCACACACAAAAAGACAAAAGCTTCTTTTAAAACCTACTGCATGTAGAATACATTCGGGGTGGGAATAGAATCCCTGTATTTGTACATATAATAATCTCAAAGAATCTCTTTGGAAACAAGATGAATTATTGTATTAAATATTAAAATAGCCATGTATGGGCCCTCTACATGACTACTGTTTAACTGATAAATATGTCATACCTTGGTTTCAAGGCCAGGGAATAGTTTTCCTCCTGATTTAAAAAAACAAAGGAATCAAAAAGATGAAAAATATTACTTTTCCTTAGCCCCTCGTTAATGCAGCCTAAATATGTATCTTGCTTGGGAATTTAATTTGTTATAAGCAGGATATTTTTCCTTGGGTTAGATTAATTAATTCTCATTGCTTTTGGCAGATCCTTATTAAGTATTACTGAGTCTGTGTCTGCATTGTCTTCAGTTATATATAAAGATGGCACATTTCCTTTAGAAAATTTTGAGTTATCATTTGTCATAGGAAGTCAAAGATTTTCACAGATGCTGAAGGTTTTCACGAATTTTAATTTTCTTCTTTTGCCTTAGAACAAAAGGTACAGGTGGTATAGAAATGGGCATGTACAGTTGAACAACTGTTAAGTAACTAATATCAGTTACTTTGCTTTTAGCAAGCAAAGGCTGGCTTTATGTATGCTGGGATCCTGATTCAAATTTGGATGTATATGTACTTCAAACAATATCAAATTATAGCATGTCCTTAAATGCCTTAAGTATTTTCTTGCACATATTTTTATTAACATTCCAGAAGTCTCCTACCTAGAATATAACCTCAGGAAAACATAATCCATATAAAAACAAATCGAATAATAATAAAACACCTGAAGGAATTGACCTAATATTTCCAAATGGGGAGGCCGCAACCCACAGGCCTCTCATGTATAAGATTTTTCCCTTTTTAAAAAAGTCCCTGGTCTTTAGGAATTTTAGTCATTTCTTGTCAGGGAAAAAAGTTTTTTCTTGACCAAAACTTGCTCAGGACAGTCTCCATCATTGGCAAATATGACCCCAGTGCCTCTTGAAAGGCCCCCAAAGCCTTTATAGGCTTAAAAAAAAAGGTGTAGGAGATACAAGTAAGGGTGACACTCTAAATTCCCCAGACCTCTAAGAAATTGCCTATCCTTACTTTCATTCACATCAGGTGCAAGCAAAGAACTAGTAATTTTATCCCATATTACACATAAGCATTGTCCAAATGAAAACTATTAAATGAATCTGATAGAAGCTGTTGTATTATTTATTCAGCTGATGAAATAAACTGCTTCATGAGATGACTTTTTTTTAAGAAAAAGGCCTTCTACCTTCATATACTTTGTGTACAAAAGATAAAACATTAGGAGAGCTGCTGTGAACTGGCCTTTAATTAGGGCTTTATGGTGAGAAATTCCCCTGTGTGAATGCTAAATGAATTCACATGAGATAGAAATACCAGTTTGGTAAAAGATAAGTGATGAATGCAAATTTGCATGCATTTCATTTGCTTTACCTGTGGGAGATGTTGTCCAACTGGTGGAGAGGAATTTTTACTTACATCGCTTCAATCTGTCATTAAATATGATGTGCTGTATGCTACATAACAATGACAGGACTGATGTCACTGCATGTGTGTCAGTGTGGTAATAATGCATTTACATAATAAGATCACATTCTGAATGCCCAACAATTTCTGTGATTCCTCTATAGTTGGGACTAAAAAGAAGGTCTTTTCATTGGCTGCTCTTTGGTTCTAAAACTTATTCCTAAGGGAAGGACCAGTTTCATTTCATCATTAATGGCCACCTGGAAATTTGTGGAGGCCTTGGCTCCTCAAAAGGCATTTTCTATGTCATTTTAATGAGCACTTTTAATCTACTTTGTCTTCTAAATATGTTTAAAATGTTGCCTGCTGTTTTAATTTTATCATTTGCTATGTTATGTATTTATGTTCAGTGGGTTTTGTAATTAATTATAAAAATATTTTAAATTTATGTTTAAACTTTTTTCTGGTTTTATCCCTTTTGAACTCCCAGAAGGAAAGGTGAGATAAAATGTACTAAAATAAATAAAAAGTCCTTCCCTGTCATCATAAAGGCATACTTCTGATTTTTCATAAAATATTCTTACTACAACAATACTTATAGTGCCAGTGTGGTGTAGTTGATAATGTGTTTGATGAGGACTTAGGAGGCCTGGTTTCAAACCCCCCATGCAGCCATGGGAAGCCATGGTGGGAAGAGGAGGTAGCAATTGTAAACCTCTCTCAGATACCTATTAGAATCACTGTAAATCAGAAACAACTGGACAGAAAATAAAAATAAGCCTTTGGATGAAAAACTTCAGAGCTGAAATCTAGAAGTACTGACACTGGAATATAAATTGACAGAAGCATAGTGGGATGTAATTTTGACCTTCTAGCCACATGTAAGTTCATGCCACTCCAACGGTAACATCAAAGGTAACAATATTTGGGAAAAGTTTTGCAGTCTATTGGCCTGGAGATACACATTTCAAGTTAGAACAGCCATGCTTTCCTTTTAGCTGAACTATTTTGTACTGAGGATTTCAGAAATGCTTACCAGGTGCTAATGATCTTTTCTTACCAATCACCCTCCATTTCTTTGAATGGTCTCCTCCCACCTTTAAAGTCTTCAGTTATTCTGTCCAGATTATCACGTTTATATGGAAACTAAATTAGAGAATCGTTGTACCCACTATTAACATACTGGCTGAAATCCAGAGATAATGTCAGCAACAGCAGCAGCAGCAACCTACTCCTGATTAAAGGCTTCTTTTGGTGATTTTCAAGTGCATTAAATTTGTACACAATGCAACAACGTACACAACTGCACACAAAGACCTCTGCAACAAGATTTTGCCCACCAAATAAATTCTAATTTCAAAGCAAGCATCTGACCCTGGCCAATCATAAAGAACTGACATGTGAAACCGAACTCCACCCTGCTAGGAACTGACTGGAAGCAAAAGCCTCTTTCCTCTGCCATCTCTTTTTGTAAGAGTCTCTCTCACTTCTTTCTTCAACAATAATCAAGCTTAGCCCATCCAGAGATGTGTGTGTGTGTGTGAGAGAGAGAGAGAGGCACACACGGAGAGAGAATGAGAGAGAGGGAAGGAGGGTGAAAGAGAGAGGGATATTTTAATTTATATACTCTAGAACAGGGGTTTTAAACTCAATTTACCTGGGGGCCGCTAGAGGCAGAGTCTGGGTGAGGCTGGGCCACATCAAATTTTCCGCCAAGCGGAGCAAGAGCCCAAGGAAGCCGCCCAGGAGTTTCCTTAGCCGACAGACAGGTGGGCTGGCTGGCAGGCTGCAGTTCTGGATGGAGGGTGCAAGAGATGCTGTCTTGGGAAAGAGCCGGCGAGCGAGGCAAGGCTTTTTTTTTACTCTTGACAGCAGAGGATGTGTAGGCGCTTTGGGCGGGGCAGGCAAGGGGAGGGCCACAAACTATCATCTGGGGGGCCGCAAATGGCCCCCGGGCCACATATTTGAGACCCCTGCTCTAGAATGATGTGACATTGCTGTTGTTACATGTTACATATTTGATTTATGACAACACTGTGAATGAGCAGTCTCCAAAATGTCCTGTCCTCATCAGTGCTGCTCAGCTCTTGTAAACACAAGCATGTGGTGTCCTTTATAGAATCAATCCATCTCATATTTGTTCTTCCTCTTCTCCTATGGCACCACAAGCTCAAAAATCACCCCAATTGCCTACGTACGCCACTATTAAGATTTAAGAGAGTTGGGTAAAGGGAGTGCTGGAAGGAGTAAATGATTAACATTTAATCCTTCCAGATAACTCAGGCCCTCCCTGGAAGGTATAATCTGAAACCCTTGAAAGGGTTTTCTAGGCTAGTAGACACAATCCACAGAAGCCTAGAGGTAGTGGATAAACTTTTAAAGCCTGAGCAGTGAGTTTAAATCAGATTAGACAAATTCCATAAAATATTTCTTAAATGATACTTGGAAGTCCCATCCACAATATATTCACAATCAGTTTCTTTCCTTTTTCCTTTCATTAGCCTTCACAGTAGTATGATGTTATGGTGGAGCATGGTTGTTCTTGTTTAGTCGCCCATCTCACATCATAGGCTTTCCTAGCAGCCTTGATGGCTGTAAAATAGCAACCAAACATGTGTCTAACCACAGTCCTATTACCATCCAAGGGAGCTTTCCTCCAGATGCTCTCTAGCCTTCTCCTAGCTTGTTTCAAAGCTGGCAACTCCCTGGTGAACCATGGGGAGGAGCAAGACCTCCAAAGGACAGGGTGTTTAGGAGCAATGGAGTTGATTGCCTGGGTTGCTGCCAGATTCCATTCAGAAACCGGGGTTTTGACACCCACACCAATCAGCTCATCTGGAAACCCATCCAAGTAATCTTGGAACCAATGGGATCTAATACCCTGCATGGATGGACAATCCTAATTGTTCCCCTCTCCGCACGAAGGGGGGGTTGTCATTGCCAGGCCTAATTTCAGTAGGTATTGATCTGATCAATAGGGATAAGTTACAGAAAATTGAATGCTGACTTCCAAAGAATAGCAAGGAGAGACAAGAGGGCCTTCTTAAATGAACAGTGCAAAGAAATAGAGGAAAATAATAGAAAGGGAAAAACCAGAGATCTGTTCAAGAAAATTGGAGATATTAAAGGAACCTTTTGTGCAAAGATGGACATGATATAGGACAAAAATGGTAGGGACCTCACAGAAGCAGAATACATCAAGAAGTGGCAAGAGTACACAGAGGAATTATACTAGAAAGACCTGCATGTCATGGACAACCCAGATAGTGTGGTTGCTGACCTTGAGCCAGACATCCTGGAGAGTGAAGTCAAGTGGGCCTTAGAAAGCCTGGCTAACAACAAGGCCAGTGGAGGTGATGGTATTCCAGTTGAACTATTTAAATTCTTAAAAGATTATGCTGCTAAGGTGCTTCTCTCAATATGCAATTTTGGAAAACTCAGCAGTGGCTAGAGGTCTGGAAAAGATCAGTCTGCATCCCAATCCCAAAGAAAGGAACTGCCAAAGAATGCCCCAACAATTGCACTCATTTCACACACTAGCAAGGTTATGCTCAAAATCCTACAAGGCAGGGTTCAGCAGTATGTGGACCGAGAACTCCCAGAAGTACAAGCTGGATTTC